TGCTGAATTTTGATAGATATGCATGAGTATACAGGTGTACAGAAGATGGAAAAGTCACAAATAGTTTAAGTTTGGCACTTTATACATAACTGAAGTGTTCCCTGAGTAATGCAAAAAATATAGGCTGTATTTATCTCTAAGGAGGCATCAAAGGTATAGTGGAGGATTTTCCAAAATTTTTAAAAACACCTGCCCACTCCGCTTTAAAAGAGAATGCACATACACAGCCCTGTACCCACTCTCGAGAGGGAACACTTATTAAACGTGTGTGAGAGCATGCACGACCCCATTTCTCCTCTTTTTACTAGCAGTGATAAGAAATGGATTTCTCCACATATCATGCAAAACTTAACCTGTCGAATAAAAAAGTTGCAAAAGAGGCATCAGTGGGAAGCCCAACCTGTGCTTTCAGTGTACGCCATCTCGCGAAAGAATCTCCCAAGAACACTCTGATCTTTGTTCTCTCTTCTGAGGCCTTTCTCTTCCTCTCTTACACTTCATAGACACTTTTTCCTCTTATGACCTTCCTCCATTTTCAAAGAACCGTGGTGAGAAAGGTGAGCTTCAATGACTGGCTGAAACCGTAGCTCACCACACATATACACCTGAGGGTGCGCTTTCGCGAAACCCTTTATTTTGATGAATCCACCTAGAAAAAGAACAGTCTGCCTTGTACCTCTAAGGAGTTTTCTAATGATACTGCCACCTGTGGCCAAAGCACATAACTACAGCACTCTTGTGTTCACGTTCTCGTAGCAAGTGTACTAGACAATTTATTTATTTATTTTTATCTATGTGGATTTGCCATCATTGTTTGATGTACATTTTAAGGACATCCTCGGTTCTTAGGAAAACAATTATCAGTTCCTAAGAAAAAAGTTGTCAGCCCATTAAGAAAAACATTTCAGCTCTCCGGAAAAAAGTTGTCAGTCCTTAGGAAAAAGGTTGTCAGTTCCAAGGTATTAGGAAAAACGTCAGTTCTCAAGAAAAAAGGAACAAACAATATTGTTCCTAAGGAATTGGTTCACAGTTGACATGGTGTGATAATTTCTTAGAGGTGTGGGGTGATAGGCTTTGCTACAGGCATAACAATGGGTAGACTGTGCCGTCTCATCTGGCAGTCAATGTCAATGAAGGATGAAGGAGGTCAGGAACATCCAGAGGCTAAAGCCAAAGCTGGGGTTGAGGACATACTGACGATTCAGAACAAGAAGATCAGAAGTCCATAGAGGCTCTGAAGAGGTTAGGAATGGAACTCCAGTGTAGATGACAGGAAGCAGCTTCAAGTTCAATAAACAGGTAGAATCCAGCAGGAGTTCAAAGACAGGTCAGGCCAATAGATCAGACAGGGAGAAGCAGGCTCAGTGATTGAGAGGCGGAACAGGTCAGGATTAGGTAATCAGAAACACTAAAGTAATGCTGAAATACTCTCACCAAAGGCTTGATAATAATCTGGCAGTGAGAAACAGCCAGTCATCAGCGCCAAGATTATGACAGTGAATCCTTGCTATTGTGGGTTCTGGCTCCTAGTGAGGTGACTAGGATGGGCTGGAGTTGTGGAGTAGAATAGGACCTGGAGATCGGAGTGGGTTTATGGGATTTAGGTAATGCCTATGTAGACAGTGGAGGTTTGGATACTGGCTGCACCTACGGTGGCCTGTTTGGTGACTGTGTTATGTCATGCTGCGTGTCCCCAACAAAAAAAACAAACATCTCTGCACTGCCAAATCAGCAACAAAAGTGTAAGCTTGTTGCACTCTGAGAACCGCTATGTGCTCACACCACAGGGGAGCTATGGGCACAGTAAAAGCTTAAAAATCATCCTTGGGAGAACTTTATTTTATTTTTTGAGTTACTTTTTTTCACTACTAAACTGGTATATTATCAGTTTACAGAGATATGTCGGTAGATGGACTATCCAGGCAAGGTTTGGGGCTTTGCAAAAGTGTAAATTGATTAAATTAATATGTTTTAATTTAATTATAGCCAGTGGTGGACAAAGTACTCAACAGCAGTAGAGTAAAAGTTTTGATACTCATAGTCAAATCTTACTCAACTCCAAGTAAAAGGTACTCTGTCAAACATCTACTCAAGATAAAGTATTCAAGTACTCACTTTTGAAAAAAAAAAAAAAGTAAATAAGAGTGCATGCCTTTTAAAGCACTGTATTAACAGTATTAAAGTACAGCATTAAAAAACATCCCGTTTTTCTGCATGGGCATGCTTCAACCCATGTACGGAGGCCTTAGTCTTCAATGTGGCCAACCCGGGTTTGAATTCAACCTGTGGCCCTTTGTCATAAGTTCCTACCCACTATTGACTTGAAAACCTCAAAAAAAGAAAATTTCTGTAAAATCTTCAGAGAAAAAACAGGAGTGTCTCGATTCTCCTCACACTTTCATCGTAGAATAGAGGTTTAAGCTTGAATCTATAACCACAAACATTCCACATCTCTGCCTTGAGAATTCATCCTATTGAACAATTTGGCTACATGACAACAACTATCACCTTAATAAAATGTATGAACTACAAATAATATCTGCCCTGAGTTTCTCCCCTTTGTGGGATGTGCAAATCTATGAAACAGTGGAGTAGACATTCAGTCCTAAAGGCTGCTATGTTGCATGTTGAAATTTTATTTCAAGAAAGAAAAACAGCAACAGTGGATAACAAAGCTAAGCTTAGAAACTAGCAGCTTCCTCAAAATGTACTGGAGTGAAAATAAAAAATAACCCCCCCCCAAGAATATTACTCAAGTAAAGTAAAGATACTCAAAAAACATTACTTAAGAACAGTGATCTAGTAAATGTATTTTGTTACATTCCACCACTGATTTTAGCCCCTAAAATAACTGATAAATTTGGTTTATCTCTGTGCATTACTGATTTCTATTCTGGAACCAGTGAGGAAACGTACACCATGGTTGCATGTGAAGGATTAATTATTTTAGGAGACAATTTATATGGTTTTCTATGAGAAAGGAGAAAAGAGAGCTGAGCTGTGAAGGTCAGCTTCCATCCTTGATTCGGACATTCTGATATTGATTTAACCGTGAAAACTGGAGCTTGTGAATTATGATGTCATGACTCAGTGCTCCCTCTGCCTTTGTCACTGAAGAGGAGAAGGAGGAGGGAAGGAGGACAAGTTCAGGTAAAGCAGATGAATCGGAGCTTTATTTTAACTAAGCCAAAGAGGGATCACAGGTCTGAGATGAGGAAGAGGTGCATCAGCAGGGATCAGGGAGGAGGTTAAGCAGGCTGAAATAGATAAATTGTGTGAAAGCAATGCTTTCAGTTTGAGGCAGACGTCCCGTCTTGCTATGTTCAGCACGCCGCGTCACACTCCTCCCACTGTCATGTAAGGCTCTCCACAGAAGGTTTTCTTTGCCATTGAGCACATTTCTGCTTTCATGAAAGAGCATTAAGCACAACCTCAGTGTCCCTTGCTCTGTTGCTTTGAAGGACACAGTTATGAATACAGACAGGATGAAAAACTTTTTCTGTAGCACTGTAACATTGTTCAGAGGCCAAATGTCTTTGTATTGATTTAGCTGAGAGGAGAAAAAAAAACCAGCAAGATTTTTCACATGTTTATATCAAGGACACTGTGAGATAAACAGCCTTCACTCAGCTAGTCTCTTCTCTCGCTCAAGGCCCAGCCTGCACAGGTTATAAAAATCTTTCCGTCTCAAGGAGAGATTACATTATGTCTTGTTGCAAAAGCACAGAGCTGAAGAGACAGCACTCTGTCACCCTTTGTCTTTCTTTGTCTTTTCTTTTGTTCTGCTCTTGGCTCCTACTTTTATTTTGCAGTTTATCAGATTTGTGCAAGCAGTTTCATCTTTCCTTCAGACAGGGTAAACAGAGGCTGCATTAAAATAATTCTTTTGCTCTAGACATGCAGCAAAACTGTTTGAACCTGTAGGAGAAATTGAAGATATTGAAATGTCGCATGGCACAATTGTACACTTATTCAGCTAAGGTAAAAAAAGCAGACTTTTACCTTAGACAATACACAGGTAGAAACTAATGAATGGGAGAAGCATTTTGTAGAAAAAAAGGATTTCATCTATTTATCGTAATTTCAAAAGATATAAAAGAAGAAGGGAATCCAGATTTTTCTTCTTTTTCCCAAACTCAGCTTCTTATCATTTTTTCATAAAACATGCCTAAATACGTATATAGTGTGTTTCACAGTTATTTTGTGGTTCCACTAAGACAAAATCAGCGGCTTATTTTTTACTCTGTTTTGTCTACATTTATTTCAGCATGGTTGGAAATATATTTAACTGATGACCCATACATATTGATATCAAATCTTCATCAGGCTGTCTACAAAGTTTTTTATCGAAGCAAAACTCATGACTGTGATTTTATGAATTAAAAAGTCTAATATAAGAAAATATGCTTAAACATTTTAATCTGGCCAAAATGTTTATGAAAATTTTTATGTTAAAAAAATTAGAATCATTTGTGTGTTGATATTTTCTTTGTAGACACTTCAGTTGGTTAGTTTCACAATGCTTTACTTTTGCACTTTCTGTCACGGTCTTGGTGCGGATATCTGGCCTGATTACTAATTTTTATCACCTGCTTATCTCCACCCAGTTCTCATTACCACTCATCCGATCCACCTGCTTCAGTCTCTATTTAACCAGCCTTCAACCAGTCATC